CCTGGTGCAGCGAGAATTTAGACTTTTCTTCCCGATGGGGAAGAAAGTCATGTTTACTGTGTTTTAGTTCTTCTCAGTGGCCACTCTTTCTTCCCAGGCCTTAGTTGCCTCTGAGGATTTTATTGATACTTTACTGTTACTGGTTTCTGATTTAATTGCATTGTGTTTAGGCAATGTGGTATAGCAGTCAGCTTTTCATCACTATAGCAAACTACCAGAGAGACGTCCTTTCCAGCTTTGGAACTTCCCATCCAATCCCGGGTGAGCCCATACGGGACAGGTCATTGTGGTGCCCATGCACAGTGGAGCAAAACCACTTCCCCCACTGGTCCGGGAAGCACAGAGAAGAGAGGGCCTGCCAGGCCAGAGTCCCCGTCCCTCCAGGGTCACAGCCCCCATGACCTCAGGACTTCCTGGCCCCACCTCCTACCAGGTCCAGTGACACCAGAGCATCTCTCCAGGGGACAAGCTTTTCACCTGTGGGCCTTTGGAGACCCTCGCAGTCCACAGCACAGACTCTGCATGCTTTCCCTGGAGTTTAATCACGACTTGGTTTGTGGCCCGGCTCACGGTCACCTCTGAGCACCCCTTGTGCGCTGGAAACCAACATCTCCGCTGTGGTCACCAGCAGTGTTTGGGCTCTGAGGGTCGCTGGAAGGGTGGTGTAGCTTCTGAATCTCACTGCCATGGTGGGAAATGCATCCTCTCCAGAGCTCCGGGGCAGGCACAGGATGGGCAACGTGATGGTGACAGCCAGGTGGGGCCTTCGAAAGATGGTGAGGGGCACGAGCCCTTCTCCCTGAAGTGGGTTATAAAACCCAGAGGGAAGGGTGTGGACAGCTCCGCCCCTCCCTTCCCTGCCACACCACAAATGCTGGCCCCCTGATCTCAGGCTTGCAGTCTCCACAGTTATGAGAGATGCCTATTCCTTATCAGTTGTCCAGTCTGCTGTGATAGCAGCAAAGCAGACAAAGACACCTGTGCGATCTGCTTTATCAATGAGAGCTGAAAGAGTGTGCTCAAAACCTCAACTATCACTGGGGGTTTGTTCCTTCTTCAGCTTTTTTTTTTTTCTGCTTGTTGTATTTGGAAGCACTGTTGACAGGTACATGCACATTAAGTTTATCATTTGCCCTTCATGAATTAATTTCTTCTAATTCTTACACATTTTCCTCTTTGTCCCAGTAGTATTTCTTCTCACGAAGCCCACTCCATCTGCTAACGCAGCCTGCTTTTTTACATTTAGCATTTGCTTGATGTAACTAGCATAGTTTTCCATCCTTATACTTTAGGACAGTGTCTTCAGTATTAAAGTGAAACTCTTATGAAGTCATGGCTTTGGATCTTGCTCTTTTCGAATCCAGTTCCCCATCCCCGCTCCTTGCGAAACGAGCGCGTTCCACAGTGTTATCTACAGGTTGGGTGTCAGACCCCATCTTTGGTAACTATTACTGTTCACCTATCCCTCCTGTATTCATTTCCCCTTATATTGCTGTCCTTTAATAAATCCTTTTTAGTTTCATTTTACTTCTGTCACTGTATATTTTCAAAAATGGTTACATTGGAGGTCACGATAGCTCCTTGAGCATACAGAGAACTAATATCCCAGCACTTGCTACAAGGTACAAACTCACCAGCACTGTGCATCTGTGTTCCCTTTCTCTATGCTGTTAGGGTTACACAGCTTACTTCTGCATACGGTAGAAACTCTAAAATATATTGTATTGTCTTCAGCAATTGCCTATTACTTTATTTTTATTTTTTGCAGAACCGGGGATCCAACCGGTAGCCTCCCACGTACTAGGTGAACTCTGTATCACTAAGCTACATCCCCAGTGTTTTTTGTCTTCTTTTTTTTTAAACAAGGTCTCACTATGTAGCACAGGCTGGACTTGAACTTGCAGTGTTGCTACCCTCTTCTTCCAGGAAGCTGGGTTTACAGCTCTGCCCCATTTGGCTTCACCTTTACTTTTTTTTTTTTTTTTTTTTTTTTTTTTTGGTATGGGGACTCGAGTGCTTGCTCTTGTGAATCACCTTCACCCACCCTTTTTTTTTTAATAGAAAATTTATTGGGAGAGAGAGCTCCTGAGAGTCAGGAAAGTGGGTTGCCTTCGAATCAGCTTTATTGTTAAAGAGTATATTTACTATTGTAGGCTGATCTTATATTTTTCATCACTTTAAAGATGCCTTTACCTAGTGTTCTAGCTCATTGTTTCTGATGATAAGTCAGCCACCATTGTCAATATCGTTACACCAGAGATAGATGTCTTTCTTTATCCCTGGATGCTTTGGGGATTTTCTTTTATTGTTAGTTTTTAACAGTTTGAAATATGGCTAGGCATGGATTTATTTGTTTTTATCTGACATGGGAATCATTGAGATTTTTGGGTGTATGGGGTGATGGGGGCGTGAGACAGGGTCTCACTATGTAGTCCAGACTGACCTGGAGCTCACTATGTAGCCCAGGCTGGTCTCGAACTCACAGTGATCCTCCTGCCTCAGCCTCCTGAGTGCTGAGATTACAGGTGTGCGCCACCATGCCCAGCTAGGGTGATTTCTTTTTCAAAATCAACTTCAGAAAAGTCTCAATGCTTCTTCAGTCTTTTCCTTCTGGGACTCTAAATTGCGTGACCTACTGATAGTGTCCATAGGCTCCCTGAAGCTGTCTTCTCTTTTGCCTGCCTTTCCTCCAGCTTCAGATTGGATAGTTTTGTTGTGATCATTCTTCTAGACTACTGGTCCCTTCCTGCATATTATTCAGTGCACTGAGAAGTTCATCGTGTAACATTTCTCTGCAGTTCTAGAATTTCCATGTATTTTTTTTTAAAGTCTGCCTATTCCCTGTCTGTTCACTCATGTGCCCGTCTTTTCCTTTACATTCTTGATACACTTGCTGTTATCTGTTTTAAAGTCATTTATCTGTATTTTTTCTTCCTCCTGAGCCATACCTTCCTGCTTCTTTGCAGGCTTCAGCAGTCATTGTATGATGTGGATGCTCCCTTGTAGAATCTACTTTTTTATTTCTTTGATATGAATTTCCCAGTGGATCACCTGGTCTTACTGAAATGGGTTTGAGGTAGCCCTGATTTTAGGGTGCATTCCTAGTTCTTGTTGCATGGTCTCCACTCTGAGGTCACAGCGGAGTGCTCGGGCTGTCCAGGGTGTCTCACGGTGGTCTGACCTCTGACTCTCTCTTCTGAGCCTCTAACCCACATCTGGTGTCTCGCAGGCTCTCAGCGCCAGCACACTCATTGTCTGGCTGTGGCCAGGGGAAACCTTTCTGCAGATTGCTGAGGTTCTTGCTCCCAGAGTAAATCTGGTCCTTCCATCCTGTTTACTGAGATAGCTGCCGTTTGGGTCTCCTTCCTTGGGTCATGGTTTAGAAAGGGTTCCCAGTCAAGAAGCCAGAGTGAGCATGGAGCCTGTAGCCCTGAGGTAGCTGCAGTTCAGTGTGAAGCTGTCGTGTTCAGTAATTTAAACAGTTTCATGGCAGAATGTGGCTGGGCAAGTCCAGGTAGGTAAGTCTTACTCTGTCATGACTGAAACCAGTACTCTGTATGCTCACAGATGGAATTTGGCAATTCTTCGTACAGGCAATAAACATTAGTAAAAATACCTAGCAACTACCCACTTGAAAATACAAAAAGAGCAAAGCTCCCGTCTCTATTTTTTAGGCACTTCTATTTACTAACAAAGATTATAAATACGTAGGTGAAGTAGCAGAATAGGACACTGTTGACTGTACAGTGACCTGGACTCATGCCAGAGACCTGCTGCAGGCTGGAGGGTGTAGATCACGAGGGAACCGCAGGGGTGGAGGGGAAAAGTGGCTCTCAGGGCAGCTCTGAGGAGTGGGTGATACTCAGGTAGGAAAGAGGACATTTCAAGATGTGGGACAGCTGTGAACAAACACACAAACAGGCTGGAATGATCAAGACACTTCGCACAGTCTGCCTGTAGTAAAGGGCTTTGGTCAGGACGTAGTAATTGTGCCCATAATAAAAGAAGTAAGCACTACGCAGAACAGTTGAGGTCCTTGAACTTTATCACAAAGGTACTCAGGCAGTAATGTGACACATCTGTAGGGAGGGAGGAAGAGGGGATCAGGGAGATAGGAACTGTCCCTCCCTGGGGTGAGGCAATAAAGTTCTTCCAGGTGTGACAGTGGACATGGAAAGGCGGGGCAGGCACAGGAAACAATGTGGAGGAACAACCAGCAGAGATGGGTTATTATTAACTGGCTGTGTGTGAGGATGAGATATTGGCAGAAATTAAGAAGTCCAGAGTGCAGCTTGTTGCCCCGGAGTGGTAGATTTGGTCTTAGAGATTAGAGAGTTCAAGGGATTTAAAGCCTTATTAACTTGTTTATAGTGGTATCATTGCTTACAGCTGTGGGTGATCTGTTTACATTTGCACTTTCAAAGTCTTCACAGTCCTGGTTTTGTGTTCACGCCGTGGGGTTTGGGGCTGATCCACTGTTCTTTGGTTTAACCAATAGCACGAGGAGGGCTTGGCTAGGTGTGTAGCTAGTGACTTGCTACTAAGACAACTAACCCTGCCAGAGTTAGCAAACGACACTCCCTGCTACGTTATCTCTGCCTGTCTCCCCCGCCCCCCACACGCTAACCTGCTAGATTAGTTAGCTTTGCTGCACCGGAAGATCACCACAGCCGATCGAAACAAACACTCATCATTCCTGCCGAGTCTGTGGCCATGTGGGCTCCTGGCTACCGGGTGGCATTTCACACAGACTCTGGTTTTAAATATGTACATGCTCTTGTATCAGCAGTCAGCTCGGTGTTTTGGTTTTGGTTTGGTTTTTTGTGTGTGTGCTGTTTTGTTTTTTTGAGATAGGCTCTTGCTGTGTTGTCCAAGCTGGCCAGAAACTCGGAATGATCCTCTTGCCTCAGCCTCTCGAGTGCTGGGACTATAGGCGTGCACCGCCATGCCCTGCTGATGTTTTTTATGGACTTCTTTTCTTTCTGTTCTTTGGAATTTTCCCCAAGAGATCTTTCTTTAGGCAGTGACCCTCACTTGAATGGACATTGTTTGGTACCTTCGCCTTCGCCTGAGATCGCCTTGCTTCTCTGTGAGGTGAGTGCCCTGCCCAGCTCCTATCGCAGGGGACACATTAGGGGACCCATTAGGGGACCCAGAGGGCCCAGAGCCCTGTGAGGCCAGAGATCAGAGGCAGAAGAGGGGGACTGCTCACAGCAAGGAGAGCACTAGGTGGCCCCCAACGGTGTCTCCCCAAAAAAGGAGGCAGGGGGTTTTACCGGAGAGCCATGCATATCCGTACCGCCTGTGGGGGGCACGCATGAACCCCTGCAATTTGAGGTTGTGCCGTTTCCTTTGTTGCACGTCCCATATGTGGAAAGGACAAGAGTTTGCTCCCTGGGGATCCCCTGGAAGGCCTGGGTTGGGCTGATTAAAATCAGCTCTCTGCTCTGGTGGGAGTGGGCGGTTCCATGGTTACCACGGTTGGCGGTTATTCCGATGGACCAGCCCCAGCTGTAGCACCGGAGCCCTAGGAAGGAGATGCCTTGTTACAGTAAAGTGATGGGAGCCAGGAGGAAAATTGCACCCGCCTTGCAGGCAGGGGGAGGAAGCCTGGGCGGTGGAGTTGGATCTGTCAGTGTCCCCCGCCAGCCCAGCCCCCTCCTGTACTGCCTCCCCGGAATGAGTTTTTCGAGACGGGAATGAAAGTGTGTGAAACTCGTGAAGCACTAGGGACGGTGCCTTCCCGTGGGAAGAGGCAGGAGGTTGAGCTCTTTCTCCCTGTGGGCCACGCACTGCGTGCCAGATGGCATTCGAGTCCCGTGGGTTTTCCGCCTTTGGGGCTGGATAGTCCCGGTCCCCACACTGGGTGCCGTGGGGCCGATCACCCACGTGTGACAGCCCGCTCGGCCCAGACTTCACCTCATGCCCCTGGGGACAACATGCGAACACTGTATCCAGTAGGGACTGAGCCACTCTAGAGGGAACGTGGCGGTGTAGCCACCAGCCTGTCCGCCACCCCTTAGGCTGGCATCCCACCAGCCAGCTGTGCCACGGAGCCCTCGCCTTCCTCGGAGCGATTCCACTGGTTGCTTGGTCGCCTTGCACCCACGTGAAACAACACGGATATGAAAACAGAAGGGCAAAAAGAAGTTTTTACAACGCTAAATGTGATAGCATATAAATATCGACTCCTTTTCAAAATGTTTCAGAAATCAGCTCTGCCAAAAAGAGAGATCAAACCCACTGTCAGTTTTGGTCCACCATTACCGGCCCAATGTACTGTCAAAAATAAGCAGGCTTTTCAGAGTTTGCCTATTGTTCTGTGAATGAGGAGAATTCCAGGAATGCTTAGAACTTTCTGGATGGTTCATATTTCATTCACTCATGTCATCAGGTGTTAAAATGTCAATTACATTTTTAATAAAATATATTTCCACTTACATAATTTAGTTAGGAAATTAAAATACAGAAATATATAACTTAAAAGTTTCTGTATATACACATACATCTGAATTATCATTAAAAATTGTGTAATATTTAACTTATGAATATAGGATGATTATAATTTAGCATTTCATTCACTCATGTCATCAGGTGTTAAAATGTCAATTACATTTTTAATAAAATATATTTCCACTTACATAATTTAGTTAGGAAATTAAAATACAGAAATATATAACTTAAAAGTTTCTGTATATACACATACATCTGAATTATCATTAAAAATTGTGTAATATTTAACTTATGAATATAGGATGATTATAATTTAGCAATCTGCTATCAACAGACATTAAGATTGTTTCTTTCTTTTTTTTTTTCCTATTCTCCTGGTGCAGGTGTGTAGACCCAGCTATGAGCTAGCTCAGTTTTGTTCAAATCTAAGTAAATATCACTGATTATGACCGATGGCTAGACATGGGAGTAGGGTTCCCTCACTCCCACACACTGGGTATCAAAATTGGGACCTTGTACTTGCAAGGCAGACAGTGAAAGCACTGAGCTAAATCCCCAGCCCTCTTTTTTTTTTTTTGCTATGGTGAATATCCCTTTTTTTCTTTCACACTTGCTCAGGCAGTTCTTTAGTGCAGATTTGTGAAGGTGGAATTGCAGAATGAAATTTATGTTCCTTTGAATGTTTTGCATTCTTCATGGTGTGTCACTGGGAAGCTGTGAGCCGCCACAGCAAGGACCCGGGCCCTCAGTTCCTTGGCCTCCGTTCTTTGTGCCCTTGATAAAGAATTCAGTCAAGTGCTGGGGATTTAGCTCAGTGGTGCTGCCACCTGTCTCACAAACACAAGATCTGGAGTTCTATCCCTGGTACCCCTCCAAAAAAGAATTCAGTCAAGACACAGGGCCGTGCAGAAGCCCAGGCAAAGTTCACTGTGAAGTGCACACAGACAGAAGTGAGAAGGCGGGTGTGAGCTGCTGCCTTTTCATGCACGCAGGAGCTACTCGTGGGGTCCGGGAACTCGCTGATTATGGAGCTCATTGACATTTTGCTAAGAATTTAATTAGGAATTGCACAATGTCCTCCCAGCCTTTTTAGACGGTGAGTGATTCCCCAGGGGATTTCATCATATAAGGAACAAACAAAAGAAATTCAAGAGAGATAAGTTCTTCACTGAAACCAGCCCTGGCAGGAGGGTCTTTGAACCCTTCCTTTCCTGAGATCCTTGGTCTGTGGGTGGTGACAGCCAGGAATGCTGGGTGCCTGTGTGGAGTTAGGCAGCCAATGGCTGGGTGTCAGGAGGGCTGTGCACAACCTGGGACCTCAGGGTGTGTCTTAGTTACTTTTTGTTGCCTACACAAACTATGCAACACTCAAGGTTAAGGGAGGGAAGGTTTATGTAGCTCACAGTTTGCAGGGGTTTCAGTCCATAATCAGCTGGCTCCAAGGCAGGGTGGCACGGCAGAGGAGAAATATTTCATCTCAGGCATAAGCAACAACAGAGAGCCACAGCTCTTTCTGCCCCTTTTATCTTCTCCAGGATACGTAGGGCAGCAATCCCAGCACTGCACCATGAATCAATCCCAGCATCACACACTGTAGATCCAGCCACCTCTGAAAAAGCCCCACCTATGACTGCATGCGGCCTTGGGGGGGACTCTAGACAGCATAACAGGGTGTCATTGCTCGGTGGGGTTGCCGAGGGTCTGAGACCTCATTGGCCATTATGATGCATTACCTGCTGGCCTTTGCTTGCTACCTGCAGTGCCTACATCCTGGACCTGCCCCTTTTGTCCCTCTGGCCACTGATGTCCAGCTCCATGCCTGCCTCAGTGCCTGTGTGTGTGGACCTGCTGTTGTGTTTCCTTCAAGAAATCCTTCCTCGGAAAGAGGCTTTGTCAGATTTTTCTCTATCAGTTTGTTATCCGACACAGAAATGGTGAAAAGTCACTTTTTCTTGCAGATTCACCCTATTGCAATCCAAGATGAGGTATTAAAATCTGGAAAATAGAGACCCTTCACCTCTGATTCCCAGCTCCTCCTACCTAACACTCCATGTTTTACACTGCACATTTGGTCCTTTGTGGTCATGGATTCAGTTAAGTGGGGTTTAAAAGGTTGCGTGTGTGTGTGTGTGTGTGTGTGTGTGTGTGTGTCTGTTTTAATGACAATCTGATGGAATAGCATCTACTGCTCCTAGTGGATTGAGGAGGGAAGGCATGGACAGCTCTGAGCCCATACAGTGTCTGTGGCAGGGACAGGCCCTGCCCCCCGGCTGTGAACCCACACAGCCTGGCTGCCAAAAGGCACACGGACAGACATGGCACTAGGGCAGGATGGTCCCAGGAACACAGGATACATGCAGAACTGGGCTGGTGGGGACATCGTGCTTTTCAGGAGAAAAGCACCGTTCACAGGGTCGCTTGTCACCAGCCAGCTCCATTTTCTGTTTCTCTTTCTGTGGGGGGAAATCTCCCTCCCCTCACCCTGAGAGAGAGGCCGCTGGCTCGGGTCTCCCTTTCTGTTTCGGGGTCCTTCCTCAAGAGCAAGGACTGGGCAGAAGGAAGGGAGGAGGCGGACGGGGGAGCAAAGGGGCTTTCCCTGGGCCTTTCTAAGCCTCTCTCCAGAGCCTCGGTTCTGTTTCAACATCCAACGCTTAAAACCTGCTTTTACAACTAATGCAAATATTCCCTGGTGATTCATCCTTTCCAAGTATTCTTGGTTTCTTTGACATTTTATTTTTAAATGATGACTTAACATCAATGTCACCCCAGGACTCCTCTCACCTCCCAGTTCTGCCCGGGCTGCACACCCTGAGAGGTCACCAGGCCCGGGCCTTTCACACTGCACTGTGTAGGTCATGCTGGAAGGGAACTCTTCAGGCTGGTTAGTGGAGGGAAGACTGCTTGATTTGGTCTTCTGTCTAGCACAGTCTGATAAAGTGGGTTCTGTTAAATTTTTCAATTTAATTTTTACTTTTTGCAGCACTGGGGATTGAACCCAGGGCTCACATACAATAGACAAGGTTGCTACCAGTGAGCTACACCCCAAACCTTCAGTTGCATGGTTAGCGTGAGAGCTACTTTCTGCTAATTCTGCGCACTTACAGGTCTGTTCTATTTGTACAAAACCAGCCTCACGCAGGCTCAGGAAGACTTGGGAAAACTCCAGAAATCACCCCAATTAATGGAAAGACTAAAGCCAATAAATTTAAATTTTCTGGAAATTTGGGCTCCAGTGGTGTTGAAAGGATTGGAATCCTCAGAAGCTATTGTGGCTGGTATTACCATTATACTTCAGTGTAACTTTGTTTTAGTGGTATTTATATAACTGGAAATTATACTAAATAACTCATATATGAGTTTATATATATGTTTATAAATACATATAGAAATCCAAGTTTAGCCAGGGGTGGTGTACACCTCTAATTTCAGCTCTCTGGAGGCTGAGGCAGGAAGACTGAAAGTTTGAGCCTAGCCTGGGCAACTTAGTGTTTTAGTGAGAACTTGTCTCAAAATAAAAAATAGAAAAGGTGCTGGGGTGTAGCTCAGTGCAGAGACCCTGGTCTCAGCTCCTAGTGCCACACACACAAAACAATCGAAGTTTACCATTGAGTGCCTGGATATTTAAAGGATATGTTCTTTGAATAGGCGATTTCTAGCTAACACAAATTCCAAGCTCAACAATGTTCTACCTTTTACACGAGCCCATCCTTTCCAAAGCACTTCCTTCCCCAAAGAGAAACCAGGGCCACAGCGGGTCAAGTTAATATCCAAGGCCACACACCGAGCAGGCCAGAGCTCCTGGACTTGAGGGGACCATTCCTCTTCACCTGCAGCGGGTCACTTTTCCCTTTTCTTAACTGTTTATCTCAATAGATCTATGTTTAATTGCGGTGTTGGAATCTAGTGTCCCGTCTCAGGCAAATATTTCCCTGCAAATCTGCAGGAGCTGTATCTTGTGCAGGTCTCAGAGCTGCTTGAGGCACGTTGTTGGAATTGTGCACTGCTCCATTCCCCCGGGACTCCGAGGGAGGCGTGCCAAGCTGGGTACAACACTGGATTCCCCAGCCCCATCGCTGCAGAGAATGTGGGGCCCGTTCTGGGACCATCACAGGGTGGGCGGTAACTCACATAGAGGCTGAGTCCCAATCCATGAGGTTTAGGTGTAATAAAAAGACACAGCCTGAAGAATCCAAGTGTGTGTAGTTTCTCCACAGAGGACGAGAGCACTGTGAGCCCGACGCGGGGCTCGGGCCTGCGTAAGTGGCAATTCCTCGCTTGTGCAATGTCCCCAGGTCAGATTTAGAAACCAAACAGGAACTGCGCCCGCCCCTCCCGAGGTCCGCGGAGTGCGGTGTGGGCTGACGGCAGGGTGCACCCGTCCCTGGATTTTCTGAGACTCCTCCAGCACTTCAGTTGTGTTTTGTCTTGTTTCAACACAGCTCCAGGATGACGGAAGACAACTCGTACCTGGGAGGGCACGAACAAGTAAGTGCTGTACCGCCGTCTCTCCGGCAGTGCTCTTTCCGTCTGTTCACATTTCAACATAGACAGGGGCGCTGCAAGGCAGTCGTGTCAGGAAAGCTTTGGACTTCGTTTTTTAAAAAATTTTTTTAAATTTAAGTTTCCTGGTCCCTCCAGGAGCAGGCTGGCGCGGACATGTCATGTAAAGTGGGCCCCGTGCGCCATCACTCGTATTTGTGTCAGATGCCAGCCAATGGACCAGTGCCCTAGGATGCCTGTAACGCCATGGCCTGCAGTGGCGGCGCCTCGGCCCCTGGCTCTGTGCCCTTCGTGCCCTGTGTCACTGTTGTGTCCCTGCATCTCCATCCGCTCCTTCTGGCACCTCACACTTCATCTCACTGCTTCTCTGCCATGACCACATTTCTGCCACAGTTTAGCCAGTAAACAGGTCTCTTTTAAGGGGAGCACAGTTCAACTCACCGCAGCCCGGTGAAAGAAATATTCACTTGACTCTCTTCCAGTGAGGAGGCAAAGGGTGTAGGGAAAAGACCTGTGGCCTTAGAATTGGGAGATTGTTGTATGAATGTCACTGCTGCTGATCGATTGGCTTTTCAAACCCAGGAATCCGGGCCTCCCCTTTGAAAACCGGAAAGGCCAGCCCCACCTGCACAGGGGTTCAAAAGACTACATGGGGGATGGAGCAGGAGTGCTTTGAGAGCACAAAACTGCTATATTTAGCAGTTAGGAAAGACTAATAGTATCCTAGCTCCTTAGTTTGAAAAAAATTCCAAGCCTACAAAAAACGTAGTGTAGTTCAACAAATCTATGCTCATCGTTAACATTTTGCTACTGTCCTCCCTCTCCCTCCCTCTCTCTCTCTCTCTCTCTCTGTCTCTCTCTCTTTATATGTATAGAACCACTTAAAAGCAATTTTCAGACTCTGAAGTAATTCCATGGTGATATTGTTTTGACTGTAATAATTTTAAGAAATATTTAAAGCACTGATATCCATTCCTTAGTTATTTATTGAAGCCTTATTATGTTCTAGAACATTGATGTTATAGCAATCCATAAAAACAACTAGGGACATAGGATAAGAAATTAGACTCTGACTACTTCCGGAAGCTGCCATGCCCATAGGAGGTACAGAGATACAGGGTCCGTGGGGTGATTGGGGCCATGCCACACTGAGAAGACAGATGCATCCAGAGGGATTCCCAGTAGCTGTGGTCAGGAAAGCCAGAGGTGGAGAGGACACTGCAAAGGCAGCTGTGTGCAAGGAGCTTGGAGAGCTGTAGTTGGCTAAGCTGGACCAGGAGAGGAAGCACCAGGCTCCAGGAATTCCCAGTCTGAGACACCTCCGTTGCATTCAAATGTTGGTGCAAACATCTAAAACAGTGCACTTCCCAAATTTTCACAGGCCCAGAATCAGTCCAGAACATAAAACCAAAACGAAATACTATTAAGGGATCTGCTGATTGTTTTTGTAAATAAAATAGACTCAGAGCAGGCATTATTCTTGGTGTCATGTTCTGGTGGCTTTAGGAAGAATGAATATGCATTGCTTTTCACATGAAGATGCTCCTTTCCAATTTTATTGCAAAAATGGTGATATCGGATAAATCTAGGAACGTTTCCTATAATTGCACCATGAAAGACTTTCGGCTACTCATGTCATCAAAACCCTTTGTTTTACCTTTCACTTTTAGTATTTCTAACAATTAAAGGCAAACTCTAACCAGAATGAGGGCTGCCTCTGCTCGGTGAAAACATGCTTTCCTGTCTGCACACAGGAAATCTTATCAAGAGATGATCCTGTGCCACACAAGAGTAAAACCAGCCGAAGACACTCATTTTGAAAGTGTCTTATGTGGGAAGTTTTGTGCTCAGCAGCAGCAGGGGAGGGTGTAGTCTGGTGTTTCCATCCTTGCGGTGAGAGGTCCTTGAAGTTCTTTTCCTTGTCCTAGCTTAACTTCCTCAAGGTCACCTGTCCCCGGGGAGATGCAGTCAATGTCCTGGTGTGAGCTGGAGCTTGCTGTCCACCCGATCTGCTCGGCAGTGTGGGCTGCCACACAGCGCAGGGTCTGTCTTCTTGGCATTTTTGCCCTTGGCCCAGTCATTTCAGCCACCTGCTGGGCCACAAGAAAGGAGACTTTTTCTTCTAGGTCACCTTCCTTTCTGAGACCAATGGGCGCCCTAGTGGGGAGCCTCGCGTTTGCAAAACACGCCTGTGCATTCCTGTATTTCCTTCCCAGCAAATGATGAACATACCCGTGAGCCTTACTCACACAAGCGAAGCTGGACACATTTTTTTGTTCTGCAATTGAAAATTTGTATTACTCACAAGAGGATCTGAAGTGTTCTTGATCTAAACACCTTTCCTTATCTTGATTTAATAGGCATTTGAGTTTCTGAGTGACCCAAGAACATCCAGTAATTTACTAATAAGGGCAAAGGGGCAAATGGTAATACTTAAATTTATTTTTAAAATAGAGTTTCCAGCCCACTTAACAGCCTTTCTCAGAGAGCGAAGTAAGGTCAGTTTCACAAACTTTTCAAAGAGGTGGCTTTTGTGGAATGAAAATAATAGGAAGCTCAGAAATAGGACATTACAGTTCTGAGTGTACTAAGAGGGAAAATTTAATTCCATCCACACAGGTTGCGTGCCTGCTGCTTTGATTCTTGTTAGCTGTGTGTTTGTGCTGAGAGATACCTTCAATGTGTGACTTAGGACAGCGCCAGTCCGTTCTCCCAAGGTCTGGGTGCGAATGCAAGCGCTGGGTTGTTCTCCTGCTGGTAGCTGTCACCCTGGCCCCTGATCTTCCGAGTCCACCTGTGGCCCTCGGCTTGGGAACCCCCCGTCACCCCACCTCCTGCTTTCTCACCACTCTTCTTACTGCCTAAGCCTTTCGTCTGCAGCTCACTGGTATCTGGGACGATCCCCTCACCTTCACACCTTTACACCAGCCACATATGCAAAGGCCCTTTCAAAGCAGCCTTCACAGGCTGGGGGATTCAGGACTAGAACATGCACCTTTGAAGGAGGGCCTTTAGGCAGCCTGACCCCCATGCAAGTGCACACCTTTTGCATTTGAGGTAAAAAACCTGAGTGCGCTCAGGGTTTGGTTCCCGCTCCTTAGACTTCGGGGTGTGTTCCGGGTATTCTGTGCCTTGTTCCAGGCCTGCTGTCTAGAGCTAGGACCGGTGCTGGTTGGCTCTTTTGGTGACTGGGGACAGATGTGCCTCACTGGTGAGGGACAGACAGCAGCGCTGGAAGTAGTGAGGAGTCAGACAGGATGACAACCGGCTCTATGTGGGGCAGCCTGAGCCGCACTGGGAGGACTGGGGACGTCCTACGAGATGCCTCCTTGAAATTGACAAGATCAGAGATATTTACCATCATAAAAAGACACCGCTTCCTGGGACTATTTCCTTATATTTCAAAGAGAAGGAGCTGCGAGTCATTCATTCCACAAACATTCGTTCTCCCCCTGTGACCAGCATGCAGTTGGCCCTGCGAGGGAGCAGCCAGGCTAAGTCCTGGCCTTGGGATTCGAGGGCTAGGCTGATTGTCTCAAATCCTTTTGTCAGCTGAGGTCCATAGGTGTAAGAGTTTAACTAGGTCTCACACAAGGGTTCTAAGGGCTGGGGATTTAGCTCAGTGGTTCCACCACCTGCCTCGCAAGCTCAAGGTCTCCAGTTCGATTCCCAGCACCAAAAAAGGTGGGGGTGGTTTACAATCCTTATTTAGGATATTTTCAGATGTTTGTTTTTGTCTTTAGTTTTTGCTCTTGTCATTAATGTTTTAGATATTGTTACTTAGTGTTTTTAATATTATGTTGGGAAAGCAATGATCACAGGATTTCTATTGTTTTCTTTACAGATGTTTCATTTGAATCCTCTGACTCATGCAATATTTAACCCAGAATTATTCCCACCAGAGATGCCTCTGCAGACAGGTAGGAAAAGACATCCCTTTTGCTCTACTGCTTTGTTTTCATTTTTTAAAATACTTGCAGGATTTGCTGATAGTCTCTTCTACAAACGCGGTGGAGTCCATAGGAAGGAAGGGGTTTATGTTCAAACACCAAGAATCTTGCAGTTTACTTTCTTGAAATATATTTGCACAAAAGTTTTGCACTTCACCTACCTGCTGGAGTAGCAGCCACGGCTGCTAACACCTGCTTGGGCAATGTAGAAGGAATTTCGTACTTAATATCAAGATTTTCCTTTGGCCCAGTCTGGCTGAGTCCTTTTACACCCTCTCTGTTCTGGCCCAGTCTCAACTGTTCAGCTCTGTTCCCCAGGGGTCTTTCTGAGGCCTGCTGTGTGTCAGCCGCTACAAGCATCAGAGGTCACCTTGGCAGAAAAATTGTCTTTTAAAATCTTCAAACTTTGCATCCTAATAAAACTGACAGTAATAATCCTTCTAACCTGACTGCATGCACAAACTCTTTCGTATAATCTGGATACTAAGAAAATTCAGCACATTTGGCCTCCTGTACTAACGACTGGCATCTGTGCCTTTTTGATGGCCCCGTTTCGTGGCTCTGTCATAGTGGGACTTAGATGTCAAAGCAGTGAGGTGAAATTATGGAGCTTGTCCATCAGATGGAGAGCTCCATGACTGCAGAGGAGGACAGCAGGCGTCTGTGTAACGCAGCTTATCTCCTGGGAAGACTCCATCCCGCTTTATCACTCACCTAAACCCACCGCGGTTCCTCTGGTGTCTGCCTCCCATTGATTAGATCAGTTTTGGGGTTGTTTGCTTGTTTGTTTTGTTTTGTTTTGCAGTTACACCTTCAGTAGTTCTAGGAGTTCATAGGAGGGAAAAAAGTAAATCTGCTACACTTCCTCCTTCACTAGTAAAAGTTGTATTAAAAAGGCTTGTCTCTCGGTTACTCGTCTCTCGTTGCTGAGACAAAATGCTGACACCCACAGTTAACTGGGAAAGATTTATGTAGCTTGTAGAAGTTGTAGAAGTTTTAGTCCATAACCAGCTGGCCCCCAAGGCAGGGTGGCAAGGCAGAGGAGAAACAGTGCGTGGCAGGCAGAAGGTAGCAAAGCAACCAGGGACAAGACCAGCCTCTTTCTGTCCCTTCTGTTATCCAGGCTACCAGGACTAGGTGGAGCCAAGCCAATCAGTGGACCAACTTAGTCACCTGCCCTTCATCCCAGCAACCTTAATCCAGCATTGCACCATGGACCAGTCACACTCCCTAGATCCAGCCACTTCTGAGAAAACCCACCTGGGACTGCATGAGGCTTTCAGGGGACACTAGACACATCTATAGCAAGCGGCCTTTCTCTCTCTCCTTCCTCCGCAAAACTTGATCTGGGCCACAGTGTCTGAGGTCTTGTGATGTGTTGTCCAAATGAGCACTGGGTCAACTTCCTGTAAACGGGCAAGCATCTCGATAACCAGTGTTTCCTGTGAACTTTTAAATTCTGGGGTTCAAAGTATTTTTCTTAGTATTAATGTTTTATTGAAAATGTAAGAACTCGGTCCCACCCTCAGGAAATGTAGGTTATCGGCCTCATGCCTTGTGAATACCAACCAGTATCCTGAGGCAGATTCCTTAAAAAATGTTTTCTTTTTCTTTACATAAATGTGCATAGAAGTAATATTATCAGAAGAGCTATATCAATCAGTCAACACTCTGAGGCCAGAGCTTCATGTTGTGGAACTTATGTTGCCATAACATTAAAAAAGCTTTCGAAATTATACTTAGAAGTCTTATTTTCCAGTTACCACCCCACAGTTGTTATCTGTATGTCTTCCCTCTCTGTTGCAGTGGTAGAGTTTAGATTTTAAGAGGTATGGGATATTTAGTCAAATTTTAAATGAATAGAGAAGCTGTCTAAGCCATACAACTTGTTTCCATATGGTTTCCATATTTTCTTTTCTTTCTTTCTTTCTTTTTTTTTTTTTTTT